CCCCCCCCCCCCCCCCCCCCCACGGGATAGCTAAGTTTTACAAGTAGGCTCCCGCGTAGGTTGGTCCTACTCCTACCGACATCAGGAAGGTCCCCAACTTTACCCTTTTCTCCAAGAGTGGAGAAAACTCAACATTCCAAAGGAAAATCCTCTGTTCACCACCACAGCAACTGGGAACTGGGTGTAGTAAGGACTCCCTAGCTCCATTAGTAGCAGTAGGGGGGGGGGGATGTGTGTGGTGTGGTGGGGAGTCCTGAAGAACAGGTCTCCAGAGACAGTGCAACAAGTAAACTGCATTCCCTAAGTTTTAAAAGCAGAAGGGAAATATCAAATCTACTTACATGCAAGTAACATTTTGTGTGTCACTTACTTTTGATTTTAAAATATATTCATGGTAATTATCTCCTTATTAATGATAAATCTGTACATTTACCTTTAAATGTCACAATACTGTAGGATGAGAAATATATAGCTGTAAGGCCTCCAAAACTGCATTACCGCAAGAACATATTCACAAAACAACTGACATACAATGAATGGTATTTGTCTACATTCTGACATACCTCGCATAATTCTCCAATTTTGAACTGTTTCATTAACTCACGAGCATCAGTTGAATGGCCCACATCTTCAAAAGCTTCTGAAGCATCTTTTCCTAAAAATGTGAAACACAGAGTGCTTTGAATAAAATGTATAAACTAATTGATAGGAAAAGCACATTTTTAAGTATGTTCTGTTAACATAAATAATTTGTATAAATTAATTGAGTAATCCATTCCACATTGGTAATGTATAAGATGGTTTGTTCAATATTCAAACTAATAATTGGCTAGAAAAGAAAAAGGAAGAGAGAATAAAAAACATTTCAGAAAAAGAGGGAGTTCTAATGAAAACAGTGATGAAAACAACACCTGGTGTTTTATAGTTAGATATTACCAAAGGGTAAGTAAAGATAACTTTACCATTTTTAAATATTACAAGTTTCTCAGTTTTTAGAATATTTTACAATGAATAAAGTACAGTATGTTTTACAGTTAAACATCACCATGATCACCAGCTTCCATTTTTGTAATCTTAATGCATAATAACAATGACTTTCAAGTGTGAAGTTTACCAAGAAATAACTTAAAGGATCTATTTTAATTTTGCAAAGTTTAAACCAATTGTATTCACAATAAATTAATTAAAATGCCAATAAATTATGTGTATACTATAATAGCATTTCAAATTTTTACACAAAGGAAGCAACAAAGAGTTTCTTTTAAGGAAAAAGTAAACTTCCCATTGGTATCATAAATAATATCATAATGAGCTATATAATATGCAAAACTTAACAAAAAACCAAAAGATAAAGTTTATAAACTACCTGTAACTTTGGTATTGCCTCATATTGGTAAATATGTCCTTTATATAAAAAATTAAATGTGTGAGCTTGTTTATATCTTACCCCCACTACACACACACAATTGAGATAAACATTAAAACCATAATGTAATTTACAGTATTTTTTGAAATATAAAAATAGAATATCATCACTGAAACAAAAATGTAGCATATCAACTTTCCTATATTTGTGACAGACAAGGCTACATATACAGTGGTTTCACCAAGACACAATTACAGACCTGCATAAGGGAGCATGTGCTATCAGGAACACTGATATCCAACAGACAAATATCAAGTATCCCTATATATAGCAAATTCCAGAAGAAGTTATGAGGAGAATAAACTGTGCTCGTAAAAAATAGGAAAAAAAGCAAACATAATAAATGACTTTTATTCATATGACAATAAACTTGTCGCTAAGATTTAAGTTTGGTTGGTTTCAAAGTTCTATCTAAATGATTTCTGGCTGCTAAAGCAGAAGAAAACACATGCAAACAAAATAATGAATAAAAATCCTGATACATTGCATGTTTAAATCAGACTGAAAGTTCCTAATGCTATATCCCACAATCTTAGATTACCTAGTTATCGATCATTCTTATTATACATTCAAGGGAGATAAATCCCTAGTTCATACCAATTTATGCAAGTCATTACCACTCTTCAAAATGCATATGACCTTGGTCCAACAGGACATGACACAGAAGTTTCATTAAATGCAACACAAGCACAGTAGAACATAGATGCTTTTTGAAATGTTAAGACCTTAACTAAAATAAATGACAAATACAGTCTCCACATAAAATGGAGTTTGATTATCAAAAAACTGAAGCCAGAACTCAAACATATGATCTAAACAGTTAACCTATGTCCTGATCCAATTAAATCACTTGAAAACAGTTTTGAATGCTGCCTAAGTGACAGAAATTATAATTTTCCTATACTGAAAATGTATTTCTGATAGGTACTTACCTCCACTCACATAAATAGCTATTCTCATCCAGTGCTGCAAAAAAATTTTTGTGTATGCCACAAGCCATGAATCTCCCATCCATTTGAAACTGACTGATTCCAATGTGTCTTGCATGCAAATCATCATGCGACAACCCTCCACCAATAAGAGTGTGACGTACTCTCTTCATAAAAGGTGTTACACTCTTATTGGTGGAGGGTTGTCACATGATGATTTGTATGCAAGATGCATTGGAATTAGTCAATTCCAAATGGGTGGGAGATTCAAGGCTTGTGACATACAACAAAAAAATATTTTTGCATATAAATGGCAGCATTAAACAAGAATAGCTATTTATGTGAGGGGAGGTAACGTACCGTATCGGAAAAGACAGATCCTAAAAACTCATTACTGATTTGCAAAAGGGTGACAATTCGTTCCCTCTGTGTACTGTATAGATGGGTGATTTAATCGAATAACTTATATAACCAATAACCTATGAGCAGAGATTACATCAGTGTCATGTAAACTAATCAATTAATTACAATTAGGCCTTGCAATTATTATTACTGTTTTTGATTATTTCAAATATCCAAGTAATCAAACTATTGCTATTATGTTGTTGGGTTTTTTTAAGCACAAAGCTAAATAAATGGCTGTGCTCTGCCAACTTCTAGCCTTATAAGTTTTTTTCACTTTAAGTTTGTATTTCCACCAAACCTGCTTGTCCTGTCTTAGTTACGGCAAAGCTATCAAGGTTATATGCCACTGCCACTTTTCTTTCTATTCTTAAACAGTTGATGATAAGGAAAGCAACTGGCTTTTGTTTTTGCTTGTATGTTCCATAGGGGACATTGTATTAATTCAATCACTCAATTGTAATTGGTTAATACAGCCAATGATTACAAAATTAAAAAATACCACTAGTAAGTGTTAAGTAAAATTTATTCCTGCTAAAAGTAGGTTATTTCCTATTAAACACCCCCTCCCCACCCACACACACTCTTCAAGAGGGTGAGCATTAATTGTTTTATTGCTACTGATAGTCCTTGACCTTTAGAAACTATCTACAACTTGTTTTTTGTGTTTTTCAAATCAAATTTGGCTTAACCAGTTATTGGTCATTCTTAACACCCAGTTACAAAAATGATGTCTTTTGATTCTGGTCTTAATATAACACTTACATGTAACAGGAATAAGGTCCATCGTTTTGATTCATATTAAAAGGGAATGTCCAATTACAATGTTTATTTGAATATCAGAGACTCAGATCTTTTTGTTTTTTAGAATATGTATACAAATGTAAAAAGAATGCCACTAAAGATTAACAATGTCTGCACATAATGCTGTATTGAAAAAGCATTTAATGCTTCATTGTTACATGCCAAAATCAAAATATTAGAATATTTTCAAATTATGACCAAATATTATTAAATTTAATTGTATGTCTTTAAAAGTTTATGCACATGTATGTCTATGTTAGCTTAAAATAACAGTTTTTGTCCAGTGAATTCCAGTACACTTTGTAAAGGTGGAGGAGATAAATATCAACTATGCACGTATGATTCACTGTGTTGGCTACATCTTGTACTTTTCCTGTCAACAAGTCTAAAGAATAAGAACAACATAATAACCTTAACTTGCTGATATGATTGCACAACATTTTGGTGATATTAAACAAGTATATCATTGTTTCCAACTGAAAGCATTTCACCTTGGAAAAAATACATAAACAAAATAATAGCTCAGACATATTATACTCATTAAACCATACATGGAGGGCTGATTTCAATACACTTTTAAATTGTACATTAGTCAAATGTGCATGCAATTTTCCAAGTATTAATTACAGTTTCAAAACTTATTTTTTGGATCATTAAATATTTAATTATTTTTACACTCTATAATAAAGTATATTAAGTACAGGCCAATACTAAAAAACTCGATGTGAAGCTTAAACATACTCAAGCATCATTAAATTTTCTACCACAAAAATTTAATGTTGCAATAAAATGCTTGAAACAAATGTAGGAAGCCATGCTAGATAAACACATAATGTTCAGTTATTATCTGAAATAAAAAAATTTAATGACATTTTAAAGTTATTCAGTGCTTCTGGTTATATTTTCTATAGTACTAAAGTATAATGTCACTTCTCAACAGAATAACACAACTACAGTAAATTATCACATGATTAAAAGACATCTAAAATTTGAGGACAGTTCTTCTACAGTCACTGAAATATATTGTTCATGTCTTACAATCCCACCATTATGAAGTTGTATACAGTGAACTGTACTCTTTCACTCTTACTATTGCATGATTTGGGGTTGTTGCTGGATATCCTTTTCCATACTCTTAAAAGGTTCACAATAAATATTATCATTTGATAAATACATTTACATCTTTGTGAATGTGAATCTGACACATTCTTTCCTATAATTTTTAAAATCCCACAATGGAAAAAAACAACCACAAATGATTACCAACTATCACCTACACCAAATGAGAACAAATCTTTAGGAAATCTCTTACACTGTAGTGTTCTTAAGCAATTTATTTTTGGTATGCTTCACAATTACTTTAGTGAAGTGTGGCATAAGTCTATTTTCTTCTTTTTTTACGTAGCAACACTCTATGGATGTTGTGGTACATGTAATCAGTTTTGTCTACATGCTGATTGTCTTTTGAGATTCAACAGTTAAAATATTTTCTGCTAAGATATTATGATTCTTCTAACAAGGTTAAAATCTGGAATAATGTTGGTAAAAAATGTGTTTTAAAAATATATTTTTCTACCTGACAGAACAACACAACAATATGTTATTGTACAAATATTTGGTTCAACTATAAAAAAAGGGTCATATTCCTTACCAAACGAGATATAGTTAAGGACATCAAAACTACTTTACTTAAACCTGAACACTTAAAACAGATACATGCACACAGAGCCACTGGCTAGCATCCCATTTTAGCTGACAAGTGACCCCCAAAGATTTGTTTACATCCCATGTCGGAAATTAAGGAAGAAAAGTCATTCAAATACCATAGTTAAAATGGGTATCCTATAGTTGGGTGTTTGAGTTCAAGAAACACATACTTAAAATGTTATAATAATTAAAAATTGATTTTAATAAGTTAATTACCATTATTTGTAACTGTGATAAAAATATCAGCAGCATCATTTAGACTAAATAATAACTGCAGAGGAATGGGGGATGAGTTGAGTTGGAATTTCAAAATTTTGTAATGATACATATGTGGAATCAAAAAAAAATTCATGCCCTGCATTCAAGAATAACATCAAGACTTACAAGGCTACTTTGTATGTATTTTGCAGAAACACCTTTTATTCAATAGTACAATGCAATGTTCTATTTCAGGTAAGAATGAAACATGATTCATTCCTTATTTTGCCTAGAGTACATCAATGGTTTGGAGCTTTTTTTTTAACATTTGTTTCCAACCTAACAAAAACTGCTGATGATTATTAAATGCTAACAAAATTATTCCTTATTTTAGAGCTGTTAACACGACCACTCTAACCATAGTGGTCTATGTGAATATAATAAATCAAACAACAAAAGAAAACTAATGGCAAACTTCAATTCCCAATGTTTCAGTTTCATCTCCTGAATGAATCAGGATTCAATATGATATTTGTCTATAGAAATTAGAAAAACAATTGTTAGCTGAATTTTTTTTATCTCACCACTAACAAATACCAAGACAGGCAGTATTAGTTACAACCTTTAAAAATTAGTCATGACTTAAACAGCCAAGCAAATCACCTCAAAAATGACTGCAAACATTTATATAAACAAAATTAAAAACTACATAGATCAAGTACTTTTCAACCATCCTTCTAAATTCCATACTTAAAATACATGGCATAGAACTATTTTCAACTAGAGAATCATCTTCAAGGTAGCTTTGACAGAGAACAAAAAAAAAAAACAATACATCACCACAGAAATCAGGTTTCATGTTTTCTATCAAATTTCAACACAGTAAGGTCTGAAATAGTGGTTGGTATTTGATAGTCAATTTGGAAAAATGTGGACAAAATTCTAACAATTTCAGTTTGTGTTTGATAAATTTCCACATGAAAATGTCAATCAAAATGTTTAATTAAAGCATTTGTAATTTAAATATTTAATAAAATTAAGCTAAATGTGTTTTTTAAATAATAACATTGTGTATGAATATCTTTAGCTTAAGTGTGGAAAGTGTACACATAACTGATCAATACAAAGACCCTCATGTGATGATATATTGTATGTGAAGAAACAGTTCCACATTTATGAAACTTGAAAGAAGTAGCAAATCATAAAACAATTTATTTTCAATTGGAGTTAAAATCAGTCCAACATAAGTTATTACCACATTCACTGCTGAGAATGTGCAGTTATGCTTTTAGCCAGGGGAAGGGCAGGGGTCATTAGGGCTAAAAAAAAAAAGGCTTGTTATTAAAAAAAAGACCATTTTAAGAAAGATGCTTAATAAAATCAATCGACTGAATCTGCTTATCTTGGAAGAAAGAGAGTAAAGAGAGCTTGTGTGTAAATGGGTAGGCCTAGCATGTAATGTAGTGTGTAGAGATTATGACTAGGTGTAGCCCCACTCTGACATAGTACATTTAAATACAGTTTGCTATGCAAAAGAGCTGGATCTAAGTGAGGCTAGACCTAGTAATGCTAACTGAATGATAGGCCTCAGCCAATCAAAATCTATTCGCTCCACATTTTTGTGATACTGTCAGCCAGGCTTCCCCCCCCTCGTGGCTTGCACCCAACATGCTATTTCTTGTCGTATGAAGAAGCAGTAGTCCTAGAATATGACTAGACCTATGTTGCTAGGCTAGATTGAACATATCTATACCTTTAAATTCTTCATTCCCAAAGGCTTCTGGTTTTGTTCAAGAAATAAGTTCAATAATTGCTAACCAGGCAAGTAACAATATTCTAGGCTTTTAGGATATATTGTACCAATTGTTTGTATTTTTTGAACAGAATTTGCAAATTGTTATCACATCAAAAATCCATAATTACTTATAGGCCTACAGTGGCCCACTTATCACTGAAAATAATTCCTTGAAAACTTAACAAGGATCATTAATTGGAGGGTATAGAAGTCATCCAATTTGATATTTCTGAAGTAAGTACAAAAAAATTATATGCAATCATCTGTTATGAAACTATCAGATAGCTTGTTCTGACACACACATAAGCACTCAAACACACATACACACACAAATATGCATATACATACACACAAGGGTAATATTGGTCCATCTAGGCTGTTCCATCCTCTAAAGTAAATCAAAACCATTAAAAACACCTCAAAGCCAAACTTTTACTTAAACTACTTAAATTTACTGCCTTCGCAACATCTGAAGGCAACCCATTCCAAAGGTCAATCACCCT